TTGATCTATTATGTTTAAGCAAATGTGTAGCATTGGCTTGGATCACAATTTTGATGTATTTTGGGGGGTTCAAAATGGACTCTAGGAAATGGAACCCAAGAAAGGGCTTTCCCAAATGTATTTCCTTTGCTTTTTAAAGGAGTCAAATTAGGGTGAGGAATGGAAAGAAAGAGACTGGAATCAGCTAAAGAAGGCTGTCGTACACTTTAAGACTTCTGTTCTGTCCTCCCCTCTCCAAACACAGTGTGGTCACCTGCACACCTCCTTTGTCTTCTCTACTACAGGTTTCCAATTTCCAAAATCTCAGTATTTCTTTAGTTCCCTCATCACTACTCTTTTCCCATGCCTGAGTGGCTGTGCCTCCCAAATTTGGTATCCCTGTTGTCCACATGTATCCAAAACTAAATCTGTCCTAATATTGTAAGAGAAACTCCACTCTACTTCCATACCCCAGATTTCCCTTTTACTCTCTGTGCCCCAGAAGCCTCACTGAACAGCAAACTCCTTCTCCAAGCACATCACTGTTGCCAGCATCTCTAGGAACTAGAATGGTTTAATAATTCCCACTGGAGAAGACGATGAAAGAAAGAATGAAAGAACAGATGTCCCAGCTATTTTTGTTTTTATTTTTTTGAATAGGTAGGTTTGCTTAGGCTAAGCTAGGTGATTGGGCCAGTTTGTTGTCCATTTTCTCCCTGTTGTGGATCACAGACTATAAGCTGAAGAGTCTTACTCTAGAGATTAGCCCTTATTTGACCAGAAGAGCAAATATCAGCTTCTGTCTGAGTTGAATGATTGCTTATCTCCATGTAAAACTGTGACTCTATGAGCAGTTGAGGTCAGGAAAAGTTGGGTATTAGCAAAATCAGTGATTACAGCCCCTTAAATTTTTGTGTGTGAATCAAGCATTTAGTTTTCACTTATGAGGAAAGCTTTAATGGTGAAGTAGCTGAGTCTTACCTTATTTCAACTTAAAACATGAAAATAGTGGTTTGTATTCAAAGCTGGAGCAGTGATTTTAGTCCCTGCCCTGAGTCCTGTTATAGGAATGGAATTATACAGCCACCACCTAGACCACGGTAGGAATTACACAGATGTCACCTCAGTAGGGCTTGTCCCTAGGTTCCATGTCAGTAAAAGAATCAGAGTTCCTTCTTCTATTATGTTTAATAGGCAACAGTAGTTACAGCTTGAGCTGGGTGCTTCTGAAGAGGGGCCCTGCCACTTTCTTGTTACTAGATTTTATAGTCTCCATAGGTGGCTTGATTTTGTGATGGCAGTTCTGCTCATTCAGTCCTGCTTGCAGCATCTGTGGTCTTCTGATTTGCTCCCACAGCCTCCAAGCACTTTTGTTACAGAATATCCTGTAGCTAAAGTAATAATAATAATTCCTTGTCTAGTGGTTACATTTCCAAAGATAAAAACAAATGTCAAAGTACAATTCACATGGCCTAAAGTTTAATTTACTGTAGTTACTAGAGCTAAGCTTGGGCACAGCTTAGTCCCTCACTACAGTCCCTGTGGATCTGAGGGCAGGTTACAGGACTCCTGTGCACAGTACCTGGGTGCCTTACTCTGGCTTTTCAGGACTGCCTTTGCACTGTAGCTGTGCTGCTTTCCTTCAGTACACTCTCTGCTGAAAATATGGAGAACGGCTGGTAATGAATTAGCAGGTGGCTCTCTATCAGCCAGGAATTTCCTTGTGCCCATGAAAACCCCACTGAACTAACCTTCAGACCATGGGTTTTTAATGTTAGAGAGTTATTCAAACTAAGCAGAACTCCAGGATGTAGGCTACAGTCCAATTATCCCAGTTATGTTGGGTGACCAGCAGTGGGCTTTGTTCTTCCATTCGGTCTTTCTTAATTTTTTATGTTCCATAGGCTGAATTTGAGTGTCTCGTTAGATATTTCTGTTGGAAATTACTGTTCAGAAGCAAGATTCTGAAAGGAAGTTAAGGTAGAAGTGTACGAATAAGCCATTTTGCCTGGCCAAAATTTGGTTGCATGCACTTTGGTGCATCATAGCAGTACATCAGTATATCAAGAGTAGCTTTAATTTTTTAGGGGTCAGTCTATATAGTCCTGAAAATGTGTGGTGCAGGGCTTTAGCTAAGGATCTGAATGACACAAAGGCTCAGTCAGCCCTCGTGTTATTCAGATGTGTGAAAGTTTATGCTTCTACATTGTCACCACTGTTGATAACTCATGGCTAGATTCAGGTTAGTTCTATTTGTCAACACATACTCAATAAACAGCTCCTGATTACAGTGTAGTCCTTAGGACAGGACCAATGTTCAGCATTGGTCACCAAACTCATGTTAGATGGTGAAGCTTCTAATGTACCCAGACAGTTACTAAACCCTCTAGAAGTACTTTCTGCTCCAGTTAAAGCCCTTCAAATAGGTTTCAGCTAAGTATAGATTTGCCAGCAGAAGTGGAGCTGATAGCCATGCATTTCCACCACTGAGTGCAGCATGCTTGCGTGCTGGACCATGTGGACAGGAAGTGCTATGACTCTCTCAACCTTTCCTACTTCCATCCAAATCACATCTGCATCTGGCTAAAGTTACACTGAGATCAACTCGTGGCAGCAAGTCACCCTGCACACACTTTCCGCATGTCAGTTCCATGTACAGTAGAACCAGAGCTGATCTGCATTATGAACTTTCTATTGCCCTCAGGTTTTCCTCTTTTTTCATATAACTGAATTCACTTACCTTTTTATAGAAATTTTTTAAAATACAAGGCAAGTTATATTTTCCCTTAATAATATTTCATGGGAATCTTTTTTTTTCCAAAATTATTCTGTCTTGCTTTTCCCTAGAGAGGAAAATAAGCCACAAATTTTGCTTGTTTTGCTACAGAAGACCAAGTCCTTATGTGTTATGTTCCCCTTTTGAATAACATATTTCAAAGTGCTTGGTTTTGCAGATCATAGGCAATTGGATTGCTGGAAATCTTTCACTTTGCCAACAGATCATAGATAAGAATGGATATTTTCTCAAGTAATTGTGAAATTTCTAATTTATACTCAAGAAGTGATATTTCATCACTTGTAGTTTCCTGAAATTTGGCAGATGGTCTGGAGACAAAGAACACATGAGATAATTTAATAAGAAAAAAAGACAAAATTTCCCTTTTTGTGAAAAATATCTCCTTAGTGATGTTACTGAAAAATGACAAGCAGATTTGCAAAATGTTATGATTTCAGCAAAAGATTTCTTTCTTTGAGCAGAGGTTAGAGTATTTTACTTCCAAAACATGTTACTTCAGTCATTTAAAAAAATTAAGAAAAACGCCATTTTCCAGTGCAAAGTTTTTGTTTCCAATAGCTTTTATCTTTATAGCTTTTAAATCTACATCCTGAAAAAGTCACTTTATCTTCATGATAAATTGGAAAATATTGCTATGGGGTCTATAATGGTTGAGAAAAATTGCAATAGGAAAATTTAGTTGTATTTTCTTTTAGGAGTTTTCATCTGCTGCTCTCTTTTTCATTTTATTTCTCCCTATAAACACCACTTCTTGTTTCTCATTAGTTTTCTTAATTTTCATTTCTCCTAAAATTTTTGATGAAGTCTTTTCATTCATGTTGTTTGTAGGGTCTAAAGATGAAAACTTAGAATACAAAAATCAGAAGCCAGGGGGTTTATAGAGAACAGTACAACTCAGAATTTTTGCATTCCCACTTCATTTCCCCTCCTTCCTTCCAGTTTTCCTATGAAGTGCCACAACATTTACCTGGCAACTCTAATACTATGTGCTACTACCTTTATTGTTGTCAAGAAAGAAAACACAAAGCTCAGAGGCCCTGCACAGGTCCCGTGCAAAGCCCCACTCTACTGTTAGAATATGACCTCGAAGTGAGGTTCAGAGTATAAATCAGGTTTATGTAGTACACTCGAATCTATTATTTCCATCTCCGTTCCATAAATACAGTCCAGATTATTCAATATATATAATACACAGAAACTTCCATTTATGACTGGTGGGATTCTGAAATTTTAATCCCAGATGACTTTTGTGTTATAATGATAGAATGTTTAAGGCAAATGTCAGTCAAAATGAATACGTTTTAGCATTCAGTGGATAATGAATTTTTCTTGATTTATACCATGTTAAAGTGCAAAAAAAATCAAACTTCTGTGTGTATAATAGCTAACTGCAATTTGTTTGAAAATCTTTTCCGGGCTGTTGTCATCCTCTCATTTTTCTATTTCTTAGTCTTCCACCTCAGCTTTGGCACTTAATTCCTTTTAATTTTACATAGTAAATTGTGGTGTTACAGTACTGGTTGGTTGAAACTAGCTGCTGCCTAACTCATGTCGTAAGAGCCCATCTCTGACCAAAACTAATCATGTATTTGGTCCAAGAAGAGTGAATTCTGAGATTATTCTTGAAGTTGTGTGTCATTGGAATGTAATACAGTGATGCCACTGGGTGGCTCTTTAAGATTCCTTTACACATCTTTAAATTGTTTTGAGCATGCTAAGAATATGCTCAAATAGTAAACAGAAGGTCTGCTAGTCTGTGGTTGTAATTTGATTGGTAATTTGTCATGTCACACTCTAATGAATGCAGAACCAGGATGCACCCAAAATAAGCAGGTTGTCTTTGCATCCCTTTTTATTAAATGAAACACTCATCTTCTCTTGAATATTTTTGAAATAATAAAATTATATTTTGTTGAAACATTGTCTTCCATTTATACTGAGTATTTCCATACAATTACTTTCATTTGAATTGTGTAGATAATACAACACTTACTAAGATTCTGCTGAAATACTTATTTGCTATTTTTATTTTCTTCCTGTTACAACTTTTTGATTTCCTGCAAAATTGTAATTCAGAAACTAAAATTATATACATGGAATTTAAGTAAATCAAATCTCATCCATTTCTGTTAAAACTTCCATGAGCATAATTTTAACCTTGGAATTGATGACTGCTTGTGTATTTATTTATTTATTTTCTTTTTTTTTTTTTTTAACTTAACAGGTCCAATGGATGTAGAAGAAAGGAATCGTCAAATGAAAATGAGCAAGTACAAACAGGTAGCAGGATCAGATTCCAGGCTGGAACAAGATTATCATTCTAAGGCAAGGGAGTTTTGTTTTGAAAAGCAACAAAATATGCTAAACTGAAGTATCCAACATCGTATTAGAAAGTAATAGATGAGTGACAGGTTGTCCCTTCAGTAAAAGTTTCTTGTGTGTCTATAATAAAATTTTTTGGAAATGTGCAGCAAAATCCTTAACACACAGGGTTCTTGATTATTGAATTTAAGAGGGATAAGTTAAAGCAAATAAAAAAGGCATTATGATTATCCATTGGAATGGACAATAGTGCCATGATTTAAAAAACTCGAAGAGAAGGCAAAAAAGAGGTTTATTGAGTGACAGATGGAATGAGAGCTATTGAAACTTGTTCATGACTTTCATAAAGTTGAACACAGAGTTATCTTTATCTGTCGAACCCTGAAGATTAAGTGTTACTTAGTTTAATAGTGGCAGTTTAGCTCTTGGAAAGGTATTTTATACATCAACAAAAGCTTTCACCCCAGCTGTGGCAGTTTACCAAGAATCTGAATCTCTACATAGTAGCATAGCCTTAAATATATTATCCAAAATTTCCTGCTATCTGGAACAGGGTCATGTCATATAGAGTGTGTTAATTAAAATAATCAAGACATTTTCAATTTAAACTTCTATTATACAGAAATAATTTAGTGTCCTCTAAAAGACTTCACTAATTGAGGTCAAATTGTAAGTAGAAAATACGAGACTTCTGACCTATAAAAGATGGCTGAGGAAGTGTGTTTCAGACTTTTATCTCCAGGATGTTGTTCCTTGCTCCCTGGATTAGCAGAGCTGCTGCAAAAGGAGGCATTTAATATTTAAAGGCAAATAAATCATCAAATTTATTATGTATTATTAGTTTTGCAGATAATGTAGACAAATTGACTTGAAATAATTACTTTCTAGAAAGTGTCTTTCAGTGGGGAAAATTAGAGGAAGAGCTTTAGGGAAGCCCATTTCAAAATGGAAAACCCTGTTAATGAAAATAGTTAGAATTGACAGAACAATAAGAAAACTGTGAAAATGTAGGTGTGCTGTGTGATAATTTGGGTATTTTACAAATATAGTTTTTATTACAGAAGGCATAGGAATGTAGGAGGGATTTGGTATACCATTATGTTCAGATGTTTCTCTTCTTCTGACTCTTATGGCAAAATTATTTTCCTGTGTGTCAATTGTTGGCTTTGGAAGGTGTTGCCTTTCAGAGATGAGCGTAATTCTGTGAGCAGACCTTCTTGTAAGTGTTGTGATTGTATGTGCCACGAAAATATAACTCTATGTACTGCATGTATAACCAGATTTAATCTGCTGATTTTCTTGCTCCCTCAATGCTTGACTGAAATTTGAGTCAGAAGTAGGACTGGTGCAGAGTAAATGGGTTCTCATGTGAAGGACCTGGATAGAATATAATTACCTAAGGAAGCATTTACTGCCCTTGTTTTTCCATTTCACCCACACCATATTATTGGGCCTCACTCTACATCTTTTACATTTTTAGTTAAAATTTTGCCTTCAGTATTACTAAAATGTATTAAAGAGGAAAATGATAAATGGAATTATTTTAAGAATATGGTGATTTAAACTGTCTGCAGAAATAAACAGTTAATTTACTCTTCTGCTGAAGTGTAGTTTCAGTACTTGAAAATGAGTTATTTTTTCTGTCAATGAACTTGTGGAACTAGACACTGAATATTCACATGTATATACTAATTCAAAATGCATTCTTAAAATTGTGTAGTTTTAAAGCCAGATGAGAACCAGAACTCTCATAAGCCATATGAGAGTTCTGTCTTCATTTTTTTACTACCACTGCTTCAGTTCCTTTTAATTAAGTTCTTATATTACCTAGAGGCAGAAAATGAGCAAGTACAATTTATCTACCTGGTTTCTACAAAAATTCTTCCGGAATCATGAACTGAAACGCTTATGTCAAACGCTGACTGAAATCTCATGCTCTGTATAGTATACAGTGACTTTGATTTCTTAAATCTGTCAGCTGGCACAAGCAGGCAGTCAAGCATGCCATGCCTAAGAAAAATGTTAAGTAGGCATTAAGCCACATTTGAGAAAGCTAGCACATGGAATTTTCTTCTACCTTTCTGTTCTATTTCTTTCTTTAAATAGAAGTCAAGAGCAAGTATATGTCCCTCATGATTACTTTGAGTTAAGAAAAGATATATTTCCTTGCTGAGAAAGCAAAAACTATAAAAGTAGAAGTTGTATTAAATATTAAAATATTAAAATAGGCCCCCTGTATTAAACCTCTCTAGCTTTATTCTGCCTCTGGAAGTCAGTACTAGAGGCTTCTGTAATGCATAGTCATATATTAAGAAGCTTGTGGGAAAAGTTTACTTCTAGACCTCGGTATTCTTAGGAGATGCTGGAATATGAAATTGATTTTCCCTTATATTTTTTCCCCATGATTGATAAAATTGCAAACCATATTTTTTTTCTTCCTATACATGCCTCGTTATTTTTGGAACAATAATTATTCTGATTCCATAAATTTTGTATGTTAATTTTGCAGGTAATACATTGTGTAGGTTACCTCCTTAAATGCAGAAGTCACTGAGGTATGGGTTCAGGACAGACATCTGAAAAGCAAGCAATATATTTATTGTTAGTGGGTGTTGAGGATTAGGTAAATGAATTTCTGGTATTGGAACGACCATTTGTTTTTCATATTGAGTACTAGCAGGCTTGTACTAAATAGGATATAAACTACAGTCTGAATTGCCATGCTGGTAGAAACTGGAATGCAGGAAAACCTGTTTTGGAAATACAGAAAAAACCCCACAGTAGCACCAGAGGGTTCCACCAGAGGCAGAATTAGCCATTTACCATACTGTGGTTCTGCAACACTAGCCTGATTTTTGTCATTTTTCTCAAGAATTTTTAAACACTTCAGAGTGTTTAAGCAAGGTACACTGTGAAGAGGGAAGGGTGAAGATGGGAGCTGAGTGAGCCACATGCTAGATGCAGTTTATTCACATTTGGTTGTACTGGCTTGTAAAGTCAGTTCCCAAACTACCTCATCAAACCTCTCTGAACCTCTCTGCCTTGCTTCTTACTCCGTGCTCCTGCCATTATCTCCTTTGGCAAACTGCTAGTGCTATGTTTGATGAGTAACCCCTTCCCCTGGCCATTCCTACTACTGCTCAGATTCAGGGATCCCTGCTGACAAAAGAAGGACAAAGGGTGTGAGGAATCATGCCATTCCTATCTCCTTGCCCCATGACTAGAACCTGTTCAGTGGATCAGCTGACGAGTGTTCAAAAGCTTTGTTCCTACTGAAAAAAAGAGAGAAGATACTTCTTGTATGTGGAGGCCTAAGTGTTTGCAATCTGTGTGAAATCAATGTAGAATGAAGAGAGAATTCTATCAACTCAGGTTATATTAGCCACTACAAAAGGGTCTGAGTCACTAAAAGCATTGAACATCAAACTAAAGAGGACTGGATTTATGTAGGAATTAGAATAGTGCCTTTCTTTAGCAGCAAAGGTAAAACAGAGACTGGCACATAGCTCACACACATTTAGATCTCAAACGCTCTTGAGTCTCATTTTATTTGTTTCGTTAGAAGAAAATAATAACCTACAAATAAGCAGAGAAATCCAGTTACATAATATAGCAATGAGTAATAGTCAGTAATGTAGAAATTAGGACTATAGTACGTCAGAGCAATAAGGAATAAAATTGGGATAAAAGAGCTAAAAGGCCAGATAAAAACTGAAATTTTTGCTGAACAAAATAATTTAGCCAAATGTAGAAAAGAGTACAGCAAATACAGAATAATACAGAACATCAAAGAGGGTTTCCCAACACCACTTTTAATCATTCAAATTTATGATAAGACCAAAACTTTCTACATCATCAGGTGTATGTGAAGCTGCAGTTCCTGATAATCAATAGGCACAAGTTTTAGATAAAAGCATAATTCTCTGTGTTCGGTGTAGGAGACTAGTACTGTTAGGCATACTAGCTTGCTACTTTGTGGTCTTCTAGCCTGGTAACAAGTCCAAGACAAATTAAACCATGGGAAAGAGGAGTTAAGCATGTGCTCAGGCTGTTGGAGTAGTATAGATGCAGCTGAAATGCTCTTGAAGCATGCAGACACTGAAGAGCCGCAGTTCTTGAGACTGACACACTTTTATTCAGCAATTAATCAAGTACCACCTTACAGGTTACCTGTGTGAGAAAATGTGCAAAAGGTAGGAGCTGTAACACTGGAGGTACAAGAGCCTAAATCAGAATACCTCAGAAGCAGATCACCTTAACCTTCAGTCTTGCTGCTATGTGCAGAAGTGTCCAAGAGCTGCCTTTTTCCTCTGAAACCTGCAGTAAGTAGCTGTGTCATTGATACAGCTACATGTGGTATCCTCTGACCTGTGCTGTTGATTGAAAATATGATTTAATGGTGTTTTGGGAATGCCCTTGTTGCCTCCTTAAAAATCAAAGCAGAGCAGTATGCAGAGCAGCAAAGATAGCTACCAGAAGCACTTGTCACTTTTCCTGAAACCCTTGTGGAGAGAGAGTTGAATATGTTGAGATCTTTGATATTCTTACTGTATATAAGCTGTATTTGATTTTTATTTGGTCTATATTGGTAGTTCTTTTAGGAGTTCTGGAAGGATCATGATATGCCCAGTAATAATTTTATAATTTTGATCTTTGATCCTATAATTGTTTCTTACAACTTTTATTGTTGAGGATGTAATGAGAAATATTCAAAATATTGAATATGAAATGGAGGCTAGGTTAAATATCCATATTCCCTCAAAACAGGGCATAAATTGTTTTATAGATATTTCTTTTTAACATACCACTTTAAATTTTAAATATCTGGATAAAACTTGGAAAGACAAAATAATTTAGAACGGAGATGTGCTGAATAATAATTAAGAAGGCAAAAACTAACCGGCACACAAATATTTAATGCAATAATTTTCTATAGAATACCTGTACAAGGGCCTAGCCAGTAGAATTTGATAGGCTTACAAATAGGAGTAGCTGTGCATAGT